TCATAAATCATAAATAATAATAAATAATTGTAATATTATTACTTTTTTTTAAAAAATAAAATATATTATAAATATATTAAAGTCATAATTTTTTTTATAAATATAAGTAATTCATTTACTTTTTTTTACTTTTATTCATTTTTCATTTTAATAATAATCAGATTCAAAAAAAATTTCGAAATATGATTGCAAACATTACAACCATCGTGTATATACTCTCTGTGACTGATAAAACTATTAATAATGGTGTCTTGCAGAAAGGCATGGCTATTTCCTGAATTGATAATGAAGATGCATTTCAAATATATAAATTTTACAATTATATGACTTTAATAAATAACACAGACCTTGATTCAGATGATGGATCTGAAGTAAAGATGGTCATCGGTCCTAAAAGACCGCGGTCCTACGGTCCTACACCATAAAAAGACGGACCGGTCCGTCTTAGTGTAGGACCGCGGTCTTTCGGTCCTGTATCACATATAATAAGACCGTCGGTCTTTTTAAGAACCGCAGTCTTTTTAAGACCGATCAGTCTTTTTTCTTTTTTTTTTACAAATAAAAAAATTTTTTTCCTTAACTTTATTAGGAATAGCCTTGTTTTATAAATATTGAACACTAATCGGGATGTTTTTAAATATACAAATTTTTTTTTTACAAATGATCATCACATGCGTCATGCACTTACTATTATTGTATTGGTGATAATAATCGTGATATCTCGCCATCCAGTGATTATAAAAATATGAAACTACCACCATTCGAATCGTCTCAATGAGGCGCGTAGAATGGTATCAAAATCATTATTTTATAATCAATAGAAAAAAATTTACATCGGCAAAACTATTTTATAACAAATTCAATAATTTCCAGCTATCTATCGATCCTGGAAATATGATTTAGCCACCATTCGACGCATCTCGTTGAGACGATTCGAATGGTAGTGGTTTCATCGTTTTATGATCACTGGATGACGAGATATTCCGCTTAAACGCTTTTTTTGGAGTTAGCGTTTTGACAGGCAACTCTACAAGTGGGGAGAAGTGATTGTCATTGTTTATTGGTTTAGAATTGGTCGGTCTTTATATTATTTTATAAAGACCTTCATCAGATTAATAGATTTATTCAATATAAAAATCATTTATTATATGAAGACCGATATGAGGACTGGTCGGTCCTCGGGACCGGTCCTACTGCGCCACAAAAAAATGCAAGACC